CCAGCCTGGGAAATATGCGCAGCCAATCGCCACGCGATAACTCAGTGAAGCTGGCCCAGCCCATGCTAGACCAACTAGCTTGAAAAGTGGGATTGCCTTCTGCACGGCGCCCTGCGGTCACTGTGTCTTGCGCCGCGCTATAGTCAGACCACAAAGCTGGTTCGTATAAATGGTCAAATGTGGGCCCACCTATACTGGGAACACACTCCGCTGATGCGCTGGATTCTGGCAGTGGTGGCCAAAAGTACAACCAGGCAGGGAAGAGGAGAGCAATGCTAATTCGCTGATGTAACACAGCCCGGCCCCCCCCAACCCTCACCCGCAGTGAGCCCACGGTACCACCGCAGCACTCGCAAGGCTCGGTCGTGATGCCTCCGCGCACCAGGAGTGTACCCGCGGGCATAATACGCAGACTTAAACCGAGACGACATACTGCATCGCCAGATTACGGATTACAACATGCGTCCGCATCTTACTCCTCACCTGGGTGAAACGTGAGGGAACGTCCAACGCATCGCCGGAAAACCGCTCATGGAGTAACAGCACGTGCCGCCCAACCTCCCGCGACATGATACGAGAAAGAGGAGGCGGGAGGCGGAGATAGGAGGGAACAAGACAATGAGAGAGTACGAGAAGGAGGAATCGGAGGAGGCTACAGGATACGGACAGTACAAGAAGGGCGATTCGAGCAGAGCAGCAGGACGGAACAACAAAATGATGGCAATGCGGCAACACTGATCGCTTCGCCGAGCTAGACAAGATGACTGCGAGCGCGCGCTTGGACAGCACAACCATCCAGCTCGAGAGCTGCTGGCTACGTTGGCACGGTGTCTCGATCCTGTCGAATCAGAACTAGAAATTCTGCCGTGGCTGGAAAGCGATAGAAGCAAGGGGAGGCACCGGGGGGTCTGTGGCACGGGCGCCTGGGCGCCGCCGTGGGACAGGGACGCCTGGGCGCCTGGGCACCTAGAGTGTGCGCGCGAACCTAGGAAGCGTTGTTTATATGAGGTGCCTAGGCGCTGGGCTGGCCACGAGCCCAGGAAGCGCTGCCTGTAGTTGCCCAGGTCTTGCGCGCGAGCCACGGAGGAAAAGAGGGAGGAATATCGAGGTCGACGGAGGCCGGGGAGGCTTTTGGATCGAGGTGGGAGGCGAGTGCTCCACGTCCCACTTGTAGTTGTCGAGGGAGCGTCGCCACATGGAGTACGTAACGATTATTAAAGCGCACATCAAAACACCCACAATCACGTACAGGTAACCGAGATAACCCATGCCACCCACTCCCTCGTAGCACGCGCCCCACATGACGCTCAGGTAGTACTCCGCCAAGAAGTTGCACCCCATACCATCGAGAATCTCAGTGACTTCGTCGACAACGTTGTCGTCGAGCAGATCACGCAGCCCCACGTCGATCTCGGTTGTCATGCTGGCCGTGGAGTCGTCGAGGGTTGTGAAGCCAATTTAACTCTCTCGCTGAATTCCGCAAAGTACGTCCCGAACTCATCTAAGGTGCAAAATTGTTGGAGCCTCGAGCGCTTGCTATCGGAACCCATGCGCGTTGCGGCATCAATTGCTGTTCCACCTGCGCCGGCGGCCCAGGCGTCGCACTCAGTGCTAGAGGCGTCTTGGAGCACGTCGCACCTGAACACGGCGTGGTTTCTGAGGCCCCCCTTCGCCTGAGTGACGAAAGATGAGGCCTGGCATTTGGCCCCAAAGGAGCAAGGGGACAATTCTGATGAACTGCGAGTCTTCATCTGCCACGATCGATAAGTTCTGAAATCGCTGCCCCGTATTGGCTCAGAAGCTGCCGCAGGCCCGTCACTCCCGTATCGTGGGCCAGCGTCGTGCTCGCGCTCGACAGCTTGGTTTGGAGATCGTCGAATGGCGCGTCGATCGCTTCCTCCAGACCGGCCTCGATCAATTGCCTCGTCGTCTGGGTGGAGCCTCTGGACGTGATCAGGAGGACGTCCGCGAAATTTGCCGGCACCGTGACGTCCGGCGGCTTGAGGCACTGGTCCACCATGTTCTTCATCATGGTGAGGGAATATCCCGTGAGATCGAACTTCTTGTGCCCGGACAGAACACCTGGGCGACACAACCCGAAGGGAGGTGCCCAAAGTGCCTGCATGAATCCACATGCAGCCGGACCTCGCACCATGAACGGCGGCACAGACCCGACCCAGGCGTCACATCTGCGCCGCCGTTGCGAGGTGCCCCGGGATGCCACCCCGAGACACGGCCGCCGAAGCCGTCGCGGGTCAGGCACCGTGGCGCCCAGGGGCACGCCGAGGGCCTGCAGGAACCCGCCGGGCAGGAAGCACAGCGCGGCCACGGAGGAGCCGCAGCACCAGCTGCAGCAGGCGCACCTGTGCGGCAGCGCCTGTGTCTGCCCGTCCGCGCCGCTCTTCCGCAGCGAGGCTGCGAGGCACCCCAGACAGCCGAAGATCACGGCGAGCAGCCCATACGCAGGGAGGACGTACATGCTCAGCCTGCTTTCGTTCCCGCTCGACTCCACCAGGTCACGATGATCTCCGTCAACAGGCGGGTCCAGGGCGTCCACAATTGAGGTCGGAGAGCGGCGCAACGGATTCATCAAGAAACGTCCGC